AGAGAGAGTAAGATTAGAAACTTAGAACAAAGAATTAGAGGAGAGGAGAAATTAGAAAAAAATTCTAAGGAGTAGTTAGTAATTTAATTTCCCAAATGCCAAAATTTCAACTTGACTTGCAAATAAAGAAGTTTTTGCTTACCAAAATGGACAGTTCTTAAGGAGTTTAATTCATGTTTTTAATCTCAAGTACTTGGTTTGGTCATACAAGTATTAGTTTAAAAGGCAACTAGGTACTCACCCTATGCAACCTATACTTTTATTATTGGAGGAAATTTGGCTACACATAAGATTTCCAACTTACTTTAACATTTTTTTTTATTAAAAGGTTTTTGTATTTATCTATGTGACATAAAGATATAAACCTAATGACGGTGGATTTGTCGGGAATGACCACGTCATCGTCATTACAATACAATAGGTTTTGAGGTGTTCAAAGTTTAAGAAAGTGGCAAAAATAATATATCAATGGTCCAAAACTGTTATTTTTTAAAACGACTTTCAAAATAATTTCAAATTTAAAACAAATGAAGATAAAATTCACGATAAAAGAAAAATTAGGACTAAGTATTTATTCTTTTCTTTTTAGTACAATTAATGTAGGGTGAATTTGAACTTTCATTTTAAGAGAAGGAATTATGCCTATACAAAATTAACTATTCAAATATAATAACGAATTATTTTAAAATACAATTGGATTTAGTAATAGATAAAAGTACCTTCATATATTGTTTCTAAAATAAAAACAAAAGGAAAAATTATTAAAAGTTGTAGATGCAACCAATTAGGAAATTGTCATTTAACGTTTGTTTTTGGTTGACTGACGTTGGAGGCCTTGATTAATTTAATAGATAAAATCTACAACAAATCTTAACAACTCCATTTGATTTTGAGAAGAATAAGAGAAGGCTATTGACTTTCTTAGCTTTGACTAACTAAATAGGTTAGCTATGAGTTATCTGTGTATGAACAAGATTGTTCATGGTACTGTTCTCTGATCCTGTCAAATGTTCTTTTATCTAGGTTGTAATATTTCACCTATTTGATTTTGTAGCTAAGTTCAAACATTTTGTGGCATGATATATAAAATAGATTAAATAGTAAATACACTGCTTTCGAGAAAAAAAAAAGTTGGAGACATGCAGCTCTAGCTGACCACTTATTTTTATCATTTGTTTGTCATTTCATGTCAAATCAATTAATATTTGTCAAGCCAAAACGTGTTGTACTAAAAAAAATATATTCATTAATAAAACATGTCATAATCATCATCTAATCAACAATTTTAACAGCAAAAACTACCTAAAATCACAATTCAAAGTTAAAAAACTTTAAGTTCATGAATGAGTTCAATAGTGTTACCTAGTGAACAATGGCTTTCTAAGTTGCATTAAATCATCTAGAAATGTAGTAGTTTTATTGTCCATCGTAGAAGGCACCATACCTACAGGAAATTCACAAGAATTTGTTACCGTTTCCCTAACTTTAGTCCAGTTTCCACAAAACTCAGGCCTGTAAGATCAACATGGCAGAGATAATTGAGTCAATAACTGGCCATTCAGCATATTCATCAGATCCATCACCAGAGTACAAACCTTTCGAGTCCTGTCGTTCAAGTTCCAGAATCCAATCCAGAGCCAGGGAAGTTGGAAGCTGCTCTTCATCTACATATAAAATATCTTTACATGTTTGCCTTCCTTTCCCATGGTTCCTTGGTGTCAAGCCTGACATATAAACAACATCAGAGAAATACAAAGAAGTTATATGAGACAACAGATGAGTCATGTCTACTGTCCCATCTAAATTCTCCAATTTCTCGTTCTCTTTTAGTAAGAGACAGTAACGAAAATTTCATTAACAGCCAGAGAGAACACCAATGGCATGGCCAAGAGGAGGGGAGATGAGACATCCTCCCAACCAGGGAGCCAAACAAGATTCCTATGTTTATCACAGAAGACCTGAACTTGACCTGTTATTGTGTTTTATCTGTAATTCCGTACAGGAATTTACCAGCAAATTTTATTGTCTGGCTTATTGGACTAATTAGTGATTCATAAATTTCATATCCAGAAACCAAATCTTATTTTGGAATAATTTTACTTTAGTTGCGGATGGGGCAAGTCTTTTCTAGCTTATAACAATTATAAAGATGTGTGAATGTTTTCAATGTCTGAAGAAACGTATCAAACATTGGAAATATAACATATTAAGGAACGACTTGCTGGAATCCTTGAATACTACGAACAATACTACTCTTGACTATAGAACTAGTCCACTCTCATAATGTTTAACGCATCTCCCTGACCAAATCTACCCACGTTAGAATTACTCATTAATAGGTGATCAAGTTTGATAGATTTGCCCTCAAGTCTTGACTGTGGTTCCCAATAGTTTGGACTATCTTAAAAACTACAGATACACATACATATTCAATTGCATGCGTGTTTATATGTATTATAATATCTCATACCCCCAATGTAACTTGTGTAGCTTTTTGGATGGAAGCATAGTTTTTGTCTTGTCTTGTTGAACATGTGTGCTCTTTTCACCCAAATCAACATCAGAATTGGAATGTTTCGACTGCTCAGCTTCATTACCTCTGTCACTGATATTCAGATGTCTGATCTGAGATTTTCCACGAGTATCTATTAGACCAACAAAGAATTCAAACTTAAAACATAGTCCTTCAACAAGAAACTACACCACAACATTATAATGAATCGGAAAGACCTTTAGTATTCTTTCTTATCTTTGACCTTGATTTTATCTGTAGTCGCCTCCTGTGAAGCTCCTGTCAGATTAAATTGATACTGATGATAAATAGAGAGGAAAAGGTACATTAAGGACAAGAACAAATCAAATAAAGAAAACTATAATTACATGAGAAAATGGACGAAACATATGGTGCTGGGCGCCAACTAAAGCAGCCATTAAAACATTGATAAGGAAGTGTTGTTCGTCCCCCTCATGGCTACTATACCAGAAATAGACGGAGAGAACTTTAACTGAATTCTCATTCCGGGAAGTGAAGGCAACCGTCAGTCACTGTTGAACTTAATATTTACAATTATCCTTTCAACCACATTATACTATAGAAACGCCTTTCATAATTACACTTCCAAGAAGTTTCTCTTTATCTCCCATCTTGATACCCGATAAGAAGTAGAAGTACTATCATGATATTGAAGTAAAATCATGGACGTGCAAAAGTCAGGATATTGCTAAAATCCCCAAATTAAAAAGGGTAGTTACAAAAATTTTTGGTGAGAAAAGCCAACTAATAACATTAATCTCAACTCCCCATCTACCTGGGAGTTTCTCCATATTCTAAAAAATTCTTCATTTCCTTTCCTTCCAACACGAAATAGCCCAGATGGTATAAATCCAAATAGGTTCAGCATTTCCCTTAGAATTGGGGCCAAAAGCAAGTTTGAAGACAAAACTCAATTATCAGCAGAGCGACCCAAAGAAAGTAGGAAGCGCTTAGAATATTGCCCCAAATCATTAAAGTGCACGAACAATGGAAAAACCAATAAGCAATGTCTTGACAAGCCCTTTTACATTAAGCACATATTTGGCCTTTGGGTTGAGGTGAAGAGAAGACATATAAACTTGGATTCTTCAACAGTGTCTAGGTTTCAAAGAAGAAAATACCACATAGAAAATGAGTATTAATTTAGGAGCTGATTCCAATTTTCCAAAGCAGTTAATTTCCTTACAGCAAGTTTTACTTGAAGAGAGGTTTTCCAGCTGTACAAATGCAACAAGAAATTTCAAAATAGGATATTGTTGATTAAATTCAAGAGCGAGATCTTACGTTGAAAAAACTAGAATATACTTGCAGAAAATAATCGGTGGCAAAAACCCAAAATGGAGTACTACAAAACAGAAAACAGGAAACAACAATGAACTCATAATCGGAAGAAAAGGGTGCATTAAACGAAAAAGAGTACCTGGAATTTAGAGAGTTGCTCGTGAGTGACTCCTTTAGGTTTGAAATTTGGCTGTAGAGATGGAGTTGACGCAATTGGTTCGTCTCTCCACTCGCCTTCACCATCCACCATTTTCATCACTGAATATCTGCGATTGCTCCTTTCGATTTTTACAAACTCGTCGGAATATTGTTCTCTTCAATCTTTCCGACGAGCTGGTCTCCGGCTTTTTGCGGGTGACTCTTCGTAAAACTGCCCGCGTTCTTTTCTTTCGTAATGCCTTCTCTCGTAATTTATTTAGATTTTCTTTTAAACTAAAAAAATTAGAAGATAAAAAAAAAATATATATATATATATATATTATTCTTTAAGATTTGAACCTCTGATTTAATTATATGCCTTTAAAGAATTATGCTTATATTGAGAGCTGATAGTCTGATATGAACTTTTTACCATAGACGATAAATTTCATAAAAATGGAACAATTCTTTTTCACAAATAATAATAATAATAAATGAATAAAAATGGAACAATTGTTATATATATATAGATGGAAAATTGATGCAACCTAAAAAAAGTTTAGTACAACTAGGGAACAACTAAAGTTATATTTAGAATTAAAAACACACACAAAAAGGAAAAAAGCAAGAGGAAGAAGGAACAAAAGTTAGACTTTTATTAAAATGGCGAAGTTTTGAAAATTTTATTTTGTGCATTACTTTGTTTTTAAAAATTAATAAATTTGGTGAGATTTTGAAAATTTTATTTTCAAATTTAATTTTGTGCACTTTATTTATTGAAATTAATAACTTTGGTGAGATTTTTGCCATTTTTCCTTAAAATTAGCAGGAGAATGTAATAAAAGTTGAACATGAATAAAACTTGATTAACCCTACCAAGATTAAGGATAAATATTGTTTTATTTCTGAAATTTAATTTATTTATCTAATTTTTTAGTACAACCTAAATTTATTATTTGTAAATAAAAACTCAAATATTAAAAAGTATTTATCTAAAACATAAATTAGAAGCTCTACGTGGCGCCATCTGACACGTCGACCCACTCATCGACAGCCCGTCTTCTTCCACCACCACCGTGTTTAACTGATTACTCATCCGACTCTGTTATGGAAAAACGCCATTGATGCACCGAAGAAGCTATGCTTCCCACTACAACTACAACTTGCTTCTCTGCAGCTCTACCAAGGATTCTCATTCACCCATTCTTCCGATCAGACTCCACTCTCTTACAGCTCTCTACCCAGAAGACGCACGCGCCAATTTGCGCCACTCCAAACGATTCCCATTTGCTCACTTCGGAATCGGAATTGGTTTCCAACTCCAAGGCCGCCGTTAAGCTCCGTACAGCGCCATGGATGAAGGGTCCTCTCTACTCTCAACCCCAAGAAGACGTCGATCTCGCGAGCCCTGAAAGAAGAAATGACTCCGACGCTCATGGGGGCGAGAAGTCTTATAGGGCGTTGGTTGATAAAAGAATTGGTAAAACAGGAAGGCACGCGATGCGACGAATTGCTAAAAGCATCGAAAAGCTTGAGAAAGATGACGATTCGGGAGAGACCCAGATGAAATTGGAGGAGTTTGAATTTGGGAATTATTTGGAGGGTCTTGAGGAGTCTGGAATTCGGCAGAGAATGCCGTGGGAGAAGGATGATGGGATTGTATTGCGGAGGACTAAGCAGAAAACAGTCAGTGCGGCGGAGTTGAGTCTTGACAAAGCATTACTTGGAAGGTTGAGGGGTGAGGCTGCGAGGATGGCGAAATGGGTGAAGGTAAATAAAGCTGGGGTTACTCAAGATGTCGTGAATAAGATACAGTTTATGTGGGAGAGGAATGAGCTCGCTATGCTGAAATTTGATGTGCCTTTGTGCCGCAATATGGATAGAGCTCGAGAAATTGTTGAGGTAAGGTTGGTTTTGGTTAATTTTCTCTTGTTATTTGAAACCCCTTGTATTCAATTAAGTGAAGACATCGCGAGTGAGGAAATGGGCTACTTTTAAAAATAGGGAAACTGGCTTTGTAATTTCTATTGGTAGCGTTTCGTAAAAGGTATGTTAATTGCAATGATCAAATAGTGCTAACTTTATTAGGAAGATCACTACTTTATGTTGCCATCCATTTTTGGACTTCAGTTTAATAGTCATACGTATTATGGTAGGATATATTTCTATGGTTCTGGTTTCTCTTTCTTACTTCCTTTTCATCTCTTACAGATGAAAACTGGAGGTGTGGTTGTCTGGACTAAGAAGAACGCTCTTGTTGTTTACCGTGGTTGGAATTACCCAATGCCTTTGAAACTTAGCCCAAAAATGCAAGTAATCGGCTCTTGCTCTTCAGAAAAACTGACGCCCAAACAGAGTCCTAAGAAGCTGGAAACAGACTCTAATTTTTTGCTTGGTAAACATTATGAAAGTGGTTTAGATCAAAGAACAGATAATGATGGTGAGTCGGAACAAGCTTCTACTTCTTTCTTGGTACAACATAGAGATTTCCAACGAATGAGTGGTTCACTCTATGAGAGGGAAACTGACAGACTATTAGATGATTTGGGCCCTCGCTTTATTGATTGGTGGATGCACAAACCTCTGCCGGTTGATGCAGACATGCTTCCAGAGGTGGTTCCTGGTTATATGCCTCCCATTAGGCGGTGTCCACCCTTTACTAGACCGAAGCTTACAGATGCTGAACTACTATATTTGAGGAGGCTTGCGCATCCCTTACCTACTCATTTTGTCCTTGGTATAAATTTGTTGATTTTTCTTCATTCGGTAAAATGTTAATGAGCTCTTTTGATTTGCAATATTAGCAGAGATAGGAAAGAAAGTGGTAAATATTAGGGTAGAAGATTATGAATGGTTGTTTTTTCTGATTAAAATTTAATGTGGAAGACACTGCAAACTGAAGTGATAAGTGAAGCTCGCAAAACAATGACATGTCAACCTTAATTTGTTTCTTTTTTCTTTTTCCCCCTTAGTTGGTCTAGTAGACTAGTACAACTTCTAATATAATAGTGTAAAAACGTGTTGGCATACTTAAGGATGATTAATGATCATAAGAGCTGAGCCAAATCCAATATTTCTTCTCTATTATCCCACATAAACTGTGTGCATGGTTACATCTTCTCATGCATTGTCATTTGTGAATACATATGATATGATGGCTCCAACTCTCCATCTGCACGTATTTATATGTTTACCTATTTTTTTTCCCAAAAATTTGAAGGGAGAAACAGAAAACTTCAAGGGTTGGCTGCTGCCGTATTAAAGTTGTGGGAGAAAAGCCTGATAGCTAAGATTGCTTTGAAGTGGGGAGTTCCAAATACAAACAATGAGCAAATGGCTTGCGAACTTAAGGCAAGTTTTCTAGATATAATATTTGTTCTAGAACTGTAAAAGTTATGAAACTTCGAGCCTGAAACAGTTGAAGTTTTTCTAATATATTGGAGGCATTATCCTCAATCTAACATCATCTTGACTAAAGTAGCAAAACTATATTCTGTATCTTCTACGGATTAAATATCTTAGAATTGTTTGCAAGCTGCAAACATATTAAGATTCTATAGTTAATATTTCTTGTGGCGCCAACCTTTTGAGAGGCTTTTTGATGCTATAGTTTACAATGTTGTATCTTGGTGTAAATTTTCTCCTTTGTTTCATCACTATAGCTACTCTTCCCTTCTAATTAATTGGAACTGCTTCTTGTAATCCCAATAGTTGAGTTTTGGTAATTTCATACATCAATGAAATGGTTCCTTCTACCAAAGAAATATATATATATAGTTAATATTTCTTTTCATACGTAATAAAGTTTTCATTGAAGGGAAGAAAACTAACTCAATTTCTTAATTTCTTGCTTTGAAGACTAACTCAACAAATTCAGTTTACAGTAGAGCACGTACGCATCTAAAGTGTGGATGTCTGGATTTAATTTCTGAAAGGGCTGGAGACATCTGGTTATTGACCAAGATTACGTTTATGGCCTTTTGTGTCACCTGCTATGATTTAGTATGTTATGCATAACAGGGTGATGTTATTGCATTTAATAACTATTACTGGTTCAGAATCTCACAGGGGGAACATTGTTGCTGCGCAACAAGTTTCTCATCATCCTTTACCGAGGCAAGGACTTCCTTCCTGTTGGAATTGCCAAGTCAATCATTCAGAGAGAAATGGAGCTCCAAAGATGGCAACTTCACGAGGAAAATGCACGGCTGAAAGCCAGTGAAATTTTTTGTTTCGACAATGGGAACATGGAAGAAGAGAGAGACACGGCTGGAACTCTGTCCGATTTTAAGGATATTACAGTGGAGTATGAAGATTTGACAACTGAAAATACAGAATCAAAACTTCAAGCAGATGCTGAAAAGGGAAAAATTATTAGGGAGCTGAGGATGCAAGAGCAAAAGCTTAGCATTGTAGGGTTGAATTTCGATGTGCCAATATCTTAATTGACTGTCCTTATTGGCTTACATTCCGATCGGCTGATGTTTTTCTATTGTCGGGATTTTGCAGCTTAACTTTAAGGTAGAGAAGTCAGCAAAGGAGTTGACAAAGTTGAATGCATCATGGAGGCATGCTGAGCCAGATGCAGACCAGGAAATGATTACAAATGAGGAGAGAGAATGTTTTAGGAAGATCGGATTGAAGATGGATAGCTGCTTAACACTTGGTATATAAATCAAATCCCATCCCGTTCATTTAGTTGGACTGTTGTTCAGTTGCATTGCCTAGTCCCTGACCACCTTTGGAATTTTATTGAAAACATACAAATCTGCTCCATTTTACTTTGACGAAATCATAGGATCACAGAGTAGTTTTGCACTCATATTCCTATCATCATGCATAACTTGGACCAACCTAAGAAGATGAAAAAATGAAATAAAAGGGTTAAATTTAGTATGGCATTATTTTTTCTCCAGGTTTTATGCTATAGTTTCGGTTTATTGGTGACTTTAGGTAGGCGTGGGGTCTTTGATGGTGTCATTGAAGGCTTGCATCAACACTGGAAGCACAGAGAGGTCGTGAAGGTGATTACCATGCAGAGAGCTTTTAAGCAGGTAATTTATACTGCTAAATTTCTTGTAACAGAAAGTGGTGGGATTTTAATATCCGTGGACAAGCTCAAAGAAGGCTATGCCATAATTATTTACCGTGGAAAGAACTATGGACGACCTCGACATTCAGTGTCCAAGAATCTCTTGACTAAGAGAAAAGCATTAAGTAGGTCCTTGGAGATTCAGAGAATTGGAGTACGTGAAGCTTTTTATTTCTTTTGCCCTTCTGTTCTCTGTTCTTTTAGTATAAATTCTCCTGTTTGTGTACGACTACATTGATTCTGCTAACTTTCCAATTTTCATCGCAGTCACTGAAGTTCTTTGCCAACCAGCGAGGGCAAAAAATTTCTGAATTACAACTTCAACTGGTGAGCCTTAATCCTTTTCATACTGGAAATGTCTTAAAGAGAAGATTGCATGTTCTTAAAGTTCAAATTTCCAATGTTCTAAAAGACTGTATTTTGCAGGAGAATGTGCATAATAGTGGGGATTAATTTGTCAGAATTAGAGTCGAGGCCAATCGTCGGTTGATGCACAATTTCCTCTTCTACTTTTGAAATGTGGGTGAAACAGGTAATGCTGATTGGATCTAAATAACTAGCTGTATCTCCCCAAACTACTACGTCTTTTACATCTATTTGTTTTTATTCGTACATTAGGTCCATGAAGAACACATCAGATCTCCATGTGAATAAAGTTTGTTAGGCAGTGACCCCACATTCGATTATGGATGCTTAAAAACTGTGAAGACAAAAGTGAAGCTAAGATAGAGAGGAAGAAATCGTTTACAGGTTGGTGAAGCATAAGTGGATCGGTATCTGTCTACTTCAGTTCTGGATTGGATACTTTAAGTGAGATTATAGAGAGAGAGTTTTGGTCTTCCATTTATTGACACGAAATCATATTACGGCTAATTTTTGTATAATAATCGACAATGATATTCTTTTATTTCTACAATACATGTACATAAATCAGTGACTTGTAGATGTAATCAAAATGTTTCAACAATTCATTACCTTTCTACTTTGAATCCACATGGGAGCCTAAATTTTGCAAAACAT